CAGCCCGCTGCACCATCCACACGTCCCCCACGGTCGCCGTGTCCGTGGCTCGGTGCACGCAGCCTGCGCGCTCCTGCAGGCCCGGGGTCCTCTCCCCAGGCTGCAGATCCCCGCTCGGGATCCCCTGCCTGCCCTCACCCGAGCTCACACCGCAGAACACGGCACAAGGACACGGCTCACGCTGGGCTTTGGGCATCCGCGCACTGTGCAGAGCAGAGCAAGCCCGGGAGACCGCGGCGCCCGCTGTGGCACACACAGAACCAGGGCTGAAACTCCCTGCTCTCCCTTCACTCGCCACGGAGCCTTGACCTGCTCTTGGTGACCCTTCCGAGCCACCTCTTTACCACGCCAGGGGTTGCAACTCAAACTCCTTTTCTGCCCAAGCTGACGCAGGCACCGCACGCTGTGTCTGCTGGGCACGCAGGGAAGCGCGTCGCAAGAGGCACAGGGGTCTTTTGAAGTGGTTATTTTGAAACTGAACTTGAACAAAAGTTTTGAATCAATCATTTGGCCAGAAGAAATGAAGAGACAGCAGCTTTGAATCCCTGCCAAATTCATCAAAGAGTTTAAAGCGCCTTTGCAAGGATTCACCGTTTGGCAAGGGAGAAAAAAATACTTTAAACAAGTGGATTTTTTTATTTGTCATTTGAAAACTTTTTTTTTTGAATCAAATATGTTTAATTTTAAAACTTCATGGGTATTTAAAATATAGAAAAGTTTAGGGTTAACAGAAATTTACCTTTTCCATCTCAGTTTCACTTCAAATAATGGTGCAAAAAGCATTTCAGATAGCCTTGAAACTTTTCCCCAATGATTTGCTGCAGTGAACTAAGAGATCATTGATTCACACACTTTGGAGCATGTTTTTATAGAACGGCAGAGTTCATGAATCTGACACTCTGCATTTTATTATCCAACAGCTGTAAATCCAAGGTCATCTCTTTCATAAATTTACTGAAAACAATGGAGTTGCACCAGTCATCAATCCAGAAAGAATTTTATGCCTGGTGTAACTCAACTGTCTTAGCGGCAATGAACCCCACTGCCACTGACCATTTACACTGCAGCATCGTATTTACGTACCAACTAAGCCAAGGACCCATGAGTTGCTGCTGTGTTTCCTTGTACTTTCATACGATGGTATTTTCTTCTGCATTGGAAATGTATGTGCAAAGTTTTCAATATTTGCAGACCATATTTCTCTCATTCATGCACAAATGAACAGCTATCTCATTTGCGACTAAGCATTCTATGACTTGGAAAATCTCTGAGGATTCCTGTCTTCTTAGCTCAACAGCATTCAGCTACTGAGAACGTGAATGTGATATACTAAACCCAAGCAGTCCCGCACAGAACTCCGATTCTTGAAGGGGCTTCCATGAAAATATCTGTTCTGGAGTGCATTTTATCACAAAATCAAATCTACCGTTACATATGGTTGTCACATCTTCATTAGCCAAAGTCAGTGCCATCTTACTCTGTCCCAACACTCAGTGCCAACTGCAAGGGAGCTCTGAAGGTCACTAATCCACCTCCCACTCAGAGCAGAACCGTTGCCAGCGCAAGCTCACTTGCTCACCTAGGTGCTGGCTTGACTTGCATCAAGATCTTGAACATATTCAAGGATGGAGACTTCACAACATCTCTGGGCAGCTGTGCTCTTCCCATTCTGCAGCATCCTCCCAGTGAAGATTTTTTTCCTAATGTCTAACCTTGAACTCCTAAGCTGTTATTTGTGGTTGTCGCCCTTTGCTCTATCCAAGCCTGGCACCTTCATAGTTTACCTGCTGTTAAATCATCCCTTCACCTGCTCCTCACAAGACTAGTCCAAGTCCGGTTCCCTCAGACTCAGGAGAGGTTGAGAGAACCTATGAGGACATAGGTTGTGTGAGGATCATCTTGGTAGCCTTCTACTGATCCTCTCCATGTTCTCAACATCCTTCCAAAACTGGGAGGCTGGAAATGGGACACAGTATTCCAGGTGCAGCCTCATGAGTGCTGAGAGTAGGGCGATAACTGCCTTCCTTGTTCTGCTGGACATGCTTCTCGTGATGCTGCCCAGCATGTGGTTTACTTTATTTTTGAGGCGAGCTCCTTGTTGACTCACATTCAGCCTTGTGTTCACCAGGTCCCTTCCAGCATGGCTGCTATCAGCCAGTCTACTCCCAGCTGCCACCAATGCCCGGGATTTTCTGACACACATGCAGAACTTGGTATTTCACCTTGTTGAACTTCCCGAGATTTTTGTTGACTATGTGAATTTCTTTGAATTTCCAAATCCTTGGTGTAGCGAACTTCAGAGCAAGTGTCAGTGCACAGTGAGGGACAGCTGCATGGAGTGACATCCCAAGGCTATGGAAAGAAGTGGTGTCAGTGCCACCATCAGAAGGCAGCTGGTTGCAGGTCTCTGTATAGACTACGGGCTTTTCCCTCCTTAACATCATGCTTCTTTTATAGAGAAGAAACACCAGTCTGACACAGCTACCCTCCTGTCAGCTCCATTTTGTCTCATTTCTTGCTTAAGATGCAGCCTATCAGTGGCACAATTGAATTCCGTTGCTCTGCGTCACAGCAACCCCACGGATTTGTAACCATGAGCTGTGCTCTGTCCATAGCCCTTTCACAAACTGCACCTGAACAGAGCTAGGAACGTGGGAATTAATGCGATGCTCGCCTCTACAAATTTCTTTTTTTTATAGAAAAAAATGGGCTTTGTCAAGCAGTTTTGTTCACTGTGGCTCCCACAGAGGTCAGTGGGGAGTATAACACAGTGAAAGGTGAGCAGTGGCACTGCGCGCCGCAGACACTGCAGATTTTGGCTGCTTTTGGAGGTCAAGCAGGCCAGGCTCTAGCTCCTTCCTGGATTGCAGAGCAGGCAGAATCCTTGGTGCTGTGTACACCAAGTCAGGGACTGTGATCAGCTGCTCCACGGAAACTGCAGCAAGCTCCACTGCTGCTGATGGACAGGGAGAGGAAAAGGAAAGGGAAAAGGAAATAGAAAAGGAAAAAGAAAAAAAAATGGCCCTCATTAATGAGGTTGCTGCAAAATAAGTATTTTGCTAATTTGAATGTTAAATATTTGCAGTTTCCAACAGCATTTTTTTTTATTTTTGCCTAGAGCTGCCCATCTGTCTTCCTCATCTCTGAATCATTCTGTTTTGTCACACTTGAGAAGCAGCATTTAAGAAGATTCTTTGAAGTTATTTAAAAACTCTCTCGAAAACACAGAAGTTATAGGATGATGTAGCTGTATTTTCACCCGCAGCTATCAAGTTAGACAGCTCGTAAGTGAGGAAAATCCTGTGGAGTTTTATAACCTAAAGCAATGATGTGCCTGAAAGAGTGGCAGGATGCTCTCTGGTACCAAAATGACAATGAGAATTGCTTTGAAATCCCTTCTTAAACAGCCCCTGTTGTTTCAACAGAAATTTTTGCCAAGAAAGGCACTAAATCCTGTGTGGAAAATAGTGATATAATTTCTATTCTGTATAAATCACATGCTCTACTTTAGTATGATGTTGAAATGCTTATGATTTGATTACATAATGTTTCATATTTGGGATTACGACCTTTGTTGTTTGAGTTTAAAATTCTGAAATACAACTGGAGATAAAAGATTCAGCTGCAAATTGAGGCCTGTCTCCTTGAACAGGTAACCCCACACGACTGCACGAGGCAAATGTGATGTTAAAAGGTGGTGCCTGGCTGCGGGTCCATTTGCTCCTGCAAGTAGAGCTGGATTAAACACATGCAAAGCTGCCGGTTCCAGGTCAAGGCACAGGCATGAACAGATGTGCTGAGCACACTGTGAATTAAGGATACTGTCCCCAAATGCTCTCCTACCTCCCACTGCACGTTCACTGGGATAGCTATGTTACAAAAATATGGACACCACAGGCTTATTTATGGAAGTTTTTATTAAATTGGGTAAAATAGTGAAACACAAACTCTTGGCCTACAACCTGCAGTGTTCAATAAATGGACTCAGTCTAAGGAATGCCAAGACATCTCTACAATTATATTACAACCTTCTCCTGGAAATTAGAATCATTTTATAACACAGAAGCCCCTAAAGATGCCAGGTTTCGCAGGAAAATTTTGTGCTCAAGTGACTCAGTGACTTCTGGATCATAAAATCTCCATCACTGAATAATGGTTGGCTACTGCATCTGAAGAAAGGCACTACAAGGATATGAATAAAAGAACAAAGAAAGAGGGAATAACTCCCTCTCTAAGCAGAACTTCCTTCAAAATCCCAGAAATACAGATCTACATTTACGAAGGCAGCTAGTGATTTGGCATGTTTGTTCTGAGACATCAAATGGGCCCAGGTATTCACAGGACAAGAGTTCAGCAATCTGTAAAAACCAAGATCCTCTATGAGGGATGGGTGAGACACCTGCATAGTGAAGCCTCCACAGCCACTAGTCACTTAAAATGTATCCTGTGGGATTGTTTTTAAGAAAAGGCAATAGAAGGAAGAAGCAAAAATAAATGCATTAATTTCACTAAATCCAGCAGCATGGACATACTTCTTTATTTTTTTTCTTTTCCCTCTTCTAATTATTTCTTCATCATTTCCCCTCACTTTATTGAGTTGTTATCTTTGCTTGGCTTAACTGTGCTCTCTCTGCTTCTCCCACCGCCTGTTCCCTTTGTTCATGCCTCCTCTCTCATTCCTCTTAGTGGTGCTTCTTCCTTTTGACTTGGGTGGTCTTTCCTCCTTGCCCTAAACCTGGTAGGTTCATCTCTTTTCTAGAAACTTCTTTTGGGTTCCATTTCCATAGCCTGAATCTAGTCCATCTCTCTCTCTCTGTTAGTATTACTGCTTCATTTTTTGCCCAGTTCCTCTCACAGTACATGCAGTGTGGATGGAAATGGACTGCTGTAAAGCCAGATTGCTTCCAGTTTTTCCCCTCTCCTGCATCTCCTGTCATCCCTTCTCCCATTACCAGCCTTTCAAGCTGCAGAAAAGTCCACATAGCAACAGAGGAGAGACATCACTTGTCTGTAGCAGCAGTCCCTAGAAACAAAGGCACAGCTGGTACCCAAAAGGAAAACTGACAGATATTAATTGCAGCAGCAAAATCATCTTGAATAAACTGTCTGATTTCTGAAGCTGGGCTTCTTTTGTGGAACTTGGTGGGAAATGGAGGCAATCAGGATCTTTGAAAACTGTGTGCTTTCGCTAGAACCCTTATATGAATATGAGTTTTAAAATTATACTGGCATTCTTCTATGATTCAACTAAGATTATTTGGCCTAAGTACCTACCACAGGTAACTGAAATTAGCAGATGACAGATTAGGTATGCTTTATAACCAAAATATTTATGCAAGTGTTACCCCTGCAATAAAGGCAGCCATGCCAGAAAACTATACTGGATTAACCACTACTCATACTAGTAATAACTTAATTCATGCTGTTGTAATTACACTCATATAACTTCCATATGCAGGCAATGCTGTGGTACAAAATGAATAATGGGATATACTAGTATTATGAAACTTAAAGCAAATAGATCTGGTTGCTGATTCTTTGCATATTTACCCCTTCTAGTCGCAGTGCTGATAGGTGCCCATATAGATACCTTTATTATTTTATTAGTTACCTGATATAGTATAAACATTTTACACTTTTGAAATTAGGAGGGTTTTTTTGTAAGAAATGACTGCTGTAGGTGTGATAATCACAGATGCTTCTGCCCTGTCCAGTGTTCTTCAAAAATGAAGATGCTGCTTTTCATGAAGCCCATCCTAAGGAAAAAGGTGCATATACAATACAAGTTAGCATGTATTTTATGTTGAATTAATTTTTTTAAAAAGGATTTTGTCTCAGAATTATGTCGCACTTTAAAGTAGCTAGATAAGGCAGCACAATGTATCTAAACCCCTTAGAGAACATGTTTTCAGAGTACCAGTGAAGTGAAAAAACAAGATGTAAATTAGATATATCCAGATGTCTTATTTGTATGTTACTTGATCATTACGGCCAAAAGGGGCTACTTCTTAACATGTTACTATCTCCAGGGCTCACAGGATCAAGATAGCAGAGATTAAAAAAAATAAAAAAAAAAAAAAAACGTGCTGAAAATGAAGTCATGCAACCAGTTATATTTTAACATCACTGGTCCGCAGGAATGTGAGACAGCACCTTAGCTGCAAAATATGCCAAATTTCTATTCTGCAAGCTCATGGTATGAACATTTTTCTTCTTAAAAAGCTTATGAATTCCGCAATTCCTTTGGGTTGGAAGTTCTCTCTTTCTCTCCTCAACAGAGTTAATACATTTCCAAAAAAAGAGAGGGGTGGATACATTGAGAAAGACTACACTAGAACACACCAGCCCAGAAGGAACTTGGCTGCTCTGCAAAGGCAACATCCTAGTGAGTTTAAAAAACAGATGCCCCAGAGCAGCCACTAAGAGCAGGCAAATGCTGAGATACCCCAAATCACACCCAGACCCGTATTTCCAGGAGATGGGCTGTTTTGAGTTGGTTAAGGCAGGATAGTAAAAAAACACAGAAACACAAGGTTCATTATCCTTGCCTAAAAGTCACTGCTCAGTAGTAAGAAACGAGTGGTTATTCTAGATGTTTTAGCAAGATTTCAGGGTATGAGATAAGGTGACTATCCTTGCCTAAAAGTCACTGCTCACTAGTAAGAAATAAGTGGTTATTCTAGATGTTTTAGCAAGGTTTCAGGGTATGAGATAAGGTGACTAAATATAGTGATTCTAAATATGTTTCTTAAGCAAAGATTTGAAGTCACTTATCTACTTGCTAAAGGAAGAGATGAATTATGGCCTTCAAGAAAATAGATTTGCAAGCAAGCAAGATATCTATGAATTATAAAACAACACCTCATTTTAAAATAGCAGGGTGATACTGTAGTGAAAACTTTTGATTATTAACTCTTACTTTTCATTCCTTCATGCCTTGAGTAGAATTTTGGTTGTAAAAGTAAACTGTTTCTGTCCTGTGGTGCTGGTTTCAGGCCTCCCATGGGGAATTTTTTTTTCACAGTCCAAATTCCTTCCAGAGCCACTGTTAATTTGTTAAAATAACATTATGACTAACTACTCCAGTTTCATTCAAAAATTAATGCAACTGTTTAAGAACAACCACTTTGGTCAATAATTAGAAATGTTTAAGGGCAGCACCATAATAATCCTCCATATTCAATGAAAGGGACCTTTAGAGAGCAATTCAGATTGCTAAAGGTATATGTCTCTCTGTACATCTGCCTTTTATCAGAGCCCAGGCCAGTTAAGAAGCATCTCTAATTCTCCATAGGGATACAGGAAATGAAAAGGAACTAGCTAAATAATATGCACATCATCATCTAATTGACTTTATTATACATAGCAGTAAGTGTTGTAAAGAATAAACCCTATAAAGAATATTGTTGCAGTGCTTCTATTTTATCATCTGAGCTATTTTAACCACATACATGTGATCTGTCACATACATTTCATGAAGGGACTCAGAAATCATGAGAACATATTGTGTGATCCATATATAAGCTTAAACGGAAATGATCAGACAATTTTGATCCGCTGGCAGATGAACAGTGAGACATGGATGTGTTAAGTTCTCAGTTACACTAGATAAATAACAACAGTGTCATCAGAACAAGTAAACTTGGGCAATTGTGCTAGTTGTTCAGATCCCCTTTACAGTCACTAGAAAAAGAACAGACACTTTTACAGTATGAATTATGCAAAGACAGATGTCTAGGTCAAGTCAGAAGAATAGTTTTCCAAAGTGCCTTTTTTTCTCTCAAATTACTATAAGCAGAGCCTACATAAGCAGTTCGAGGTGTCCACAGAAGAGATGATAGTGGGCCTGCTCCAACAAAATGCACCTTAAAATAAGCAATAAACAGCTTTAAGGAAATGGCATATTGTAGAGCAACAGTTATCAAGAATATGAGAGTAAGAGTTCAAAGCTAAAGTGCTAATGAAATTTCTGAATGCTAGTAGAAACATTAATGTAGGCAGATGATTCCCTCTCTGCACAGGCCACATTTCATCTGAAATGATCAGATTTGTTATTTACATTTTAAAAGAGAAGACAAAACAACTGGTGAGTGTAAATAAGAGACTGAATTAAGTGCTAAATGAAATATTTACATGGAAAGATAAGAATTTAAACTGATTAACCTAACACTGGGTATTACTGATCTTCGTTACAAGTTAATTCCTCTGAAAGGAAATCCTCAATACTAAAGAAGGCGCTACAGCATAACTAAGAAAAGAAATAAGTTGAAATATGTATATCAAAATTAGAAACCAAGCATGAACTTAAAACACAACCATTACAACAAACTAATGAGAGAAGCTGAGGAATAACCAGCTTTATTCAATCCACTGCATGCACAGTACCTAGTGTGGCCAGTAAGTGCAATGAGACTTGGTAATCAATCAGATAAGCTATCCTATCCTTAAACACAACAAATTTCTGAAAAAAAAATCCTAAAATTAGATTTAAAGACATTATGGCTGCAGGAGACCATGATGAAAGTCCTACGCAGGTCACAGGGCTATATACTGATTCCTGCCTCAAGACTAGTAAGTGAGCTTGGACCAGGCCTAAAGGGTTAAAGTGGAAAATATTTAAAATTTGTTTTGAAAGTAGAGAAGTTAATTGATTACTGTTAAGTTGTTCCAGTATTAAGTACCCTTTTGTAAGAATAAATAAATTTCTACTTTGCTTTTTACCTCCAGTCCTTACAGCTTGTAATATTTTATCCCTCAGCCAAAGGCTCTCTGCTCTCTTGCACAACTTGCATTCCCTTATTTGTCTACTGTAATCAAGCCTCTCCATACCTTTACGCTGCCTAAACAAGGCTGATTTCCTAGCAATTTTCCACTGTTTTCCTGTCCTTAACATTATCACAAGAGTTTATTTTCAATAGCAACTTCACTTTTGAACAGAACTAGATGTAATATTCTGGTAACTACAGCACTTCCTTCAAATAAATTAGTAATATAACCTCCCTACTCGTTGATACTTGTTTCCATTTTATTTAACGGATATGGAATTATGCATTAACTATGCTCCTGTAAGTTCAGCCTAAAATCACCTACTAAAGACTATACACAACCTCCTTTTCAGTTCTAAGGATTTCACATGTTATTACATAAATGTTCAGGCTTTGTTTTTTTTTTAAGTAATATTTTCACCAGAATTCTGAGGAAAAAAAAAAAAAGATTTCATTTACCCTGACAAACACTTTGCACTTGGCAACGGTGACAGTTACCTGCAGCTGGATGTTTAACATGGCATTCCTCTTTCCGAAAATAAAGCTCTTCTTCAAGTATTTCTTTAACCCTCCTAGGCGGCTCAACATAGACAAATTTCTTCCCTGTTTGTGAAACACATTACAACAGAAGCAGTTATTTTAGAACCTAACAAATGCTAACGTGCTTTGTCGAGTGCAGTTTCATTTCACCCTGCTCTACTCGTAAGCATCTTTACCACGCGTATTTTACGGGTATATTTAGAGGCGTTCGGGTGGTCCGGCTGCCCCAAACCAAGTGGCCGCAAGTGGGAACCAAGAAGGGGGGCTCCCTGGACCGGAGCCGCGCGGCGGGAGGCGGCCGGGCGGGGCGGCCTCCCCAGGGCGGGCAGCGGGCGGGATAAGGCGCCTTCCTCCCCCAAGGCCGCCGCCGGGAAAGGCGGCGATGCGGCCG